CCAATGATAAATACTTACAGGAATTCAGAAACAATGCATTATTTTTAAATGATGTCAGAAAACAGAAATCAGAACAACAAACAATAAACAATACCTAGTTCCTGTTTGTGTTGTCAAAGTGTCATGTTTTAAAATGTTACTCCTCTTAGGGTTTGTTTTTACTGTCACTGAAAAGTAGAGAAAGAATGCCTACTTACTGATGATGATTCTTATTCCCATTACATTCCAAGAAGAAACAGATTTAATATTTGAAACTAAGGTGAAAAAGGGTAGAAGTGACACTATCTGGAGGAAAAAAGTATTACAAGAAGGTCTACGTGCAAAAAAAAAAAAAATTCAAAGTTATTACAAACAGATTGGTAGTCAAAAATCACTTCTCAAAGTCCCTAGAAATTAACCTTTACCCCACTGTTGTAAAATCATTGGCTGCTTCATCATTCAGGAAATATTGGTAGTGAAGGCCCTTTCTGGGTCTTATCTAAATTGTTAACTGATAGCGTCACTCTGCTAAGCCGCAGTCTTACGCATGAATGCGTTACGCCTGTTTTAATAACTGCAGACACCACAGTCTTGTTTTTCCTGTGTGGGAAATTAACCAGACTTACCAGACCACAGGTGAAGCAAACTTATGTTTTGTTGAACTGTGTTTTTCATCTTTTTTTAAGGAGCAACTAAAGAAACTCAGCGCAAGGAAAAGCCAAGCTTAAATGCAGCTTCATGATTCCTGGAAAATAAGGCAATGCCATACCTAGGAGCAGGGACAGCACCAAGTACTCGAAGCACACTGCTAGCCTCTGTGTGTAAAACTGGTGCAACTCACTACTGTTGCAGACTGGAAAAGACTGAGCGAAGGTGCTAAGAGTGGGTTTACTTTGCACATACGCATACTTATTTTTGATAGAGATACAGTTAGCTAATAGCTTGTTTTAGCAAGCATCTGCAAATGAAAATAGGTTCTAAGCTCACTTTTGAAGTGAAAAATGGCATAATACTTATTCTGTGACTTCAATGATACAGGAAGGATTTAAAATTTATTAGGGCAGGGGGAGGCATTTTGGTGCAGCAAGTTAATCTGCAGCTTAAAACGCTGTCATCTCAAGCAGGAATGCCAATTCTAGTCTCCTCTCTAACCCCCATTCTGCATCCAATTCAGTTCCCCACTAATGTGCCTGGAAAAGCAGTGAAAAATGGCCCAAGTATTTCTGCCTGTACCACCCATGTAGGAGACTCTGATGGAATTTCAGTCTCCCAGATTTGGCCTGGCCCAGCCCTGGCTTCTGTGGCCTACTGAATGGAAGATTCTCTCTCTCTCTCTCATCTGTCACTCTGCCTTTCAAATAAAAGAAATTTCATTTAATCTTATTTTACTTTTGATAATTATTTTTGGTAATTTGTCTCATAATTCACCCTACAAGGAAGCAAGCACAAAAATAATAATTGAAACATTTTTTGTATTAGACTCATAGGTAGAAACAGAAATTTGAACAAGGTTTGGGGTGATGGCAGGAGGCAAATCTTAACCTGGCTGATATGGTCCTACGTGAACCCTTTACGTTACCAGGCTGTTTTGTAAAAACATGGGAAGCACGTAGGAAAGTTACGAACATGCATTGTTTTGACTGCACCATGTTGACCAGAGGAGCAACAAATACAGCAACAGTCAACTGGGTCTTCCCTCCACAATCTCACTTCTGGATTTGCATCTAAAAACTACAAATGTATTCTCTAAACAGAAAGCTTTTTCTTTGTTACCTGTAGAAGCAGGTCACTTTTCCCCATTGTCTGATTGGTTCAATAAAAATGACTTACACCTCAATCATAAGTTTTTATATCTGTGACGCATTTTTGATGTAATTCCTATAACTTGGAAGGTACTATCTCTTGCACCTAGCTGTTTTTCATTCCAGTTTTAAAATCAGATGACTTTAAAGCAGCTAGGAGGTGGCCATTTAGCAAGGCAGTTCAGACACTTGTATTCCATGCCAAAGGGCATGAGTTTGAATCCCATATGGGATATTGGTACATGTATGGCAAGGATTTTAGCCACTGAGCTATCGCACCAGGTCCACGTTCAATCTCCTTAATACAGGACACAGTTTCCATGATCTGATGAGTGCATTTGGCCTCCTAACTTACCCTGACCACCCCTTCATGCCATGTTCAAAACTCCAGACCTCCTATTCCAAGCTGTCCTCACACGGGAATTTTTTCTTTCATCTTTCCTCTCCTTCATGCCCTGTAAACTTCTATTTAACCTGCTAGCCTTTGTTTGAAAGTATTTCTTTTGAACCTTCTCTGACCCTCTCTGCCCTACCCCTGTCCTCATGGCACCCTGGGATGTGTATTTTACGTATTTTTAGAGCAGATCCTAAGTCTTATCTATGGTTTTACCACTGTACCATTTCACAGTGCCTGGCACAACTTGCACTTAGGATGTCTGTAATTACCCAAGCTTTATTTTACTTTTCTTCAGTCTCTCCTAGGGTAACACAGACATGTCTACAGGGAAGGCTACAGGTCTCGATCTGAAAGAGTACTGCTGGTGGACCCAACCCTGTGACCACCTCAAATCCTCCCTCCTCCTGCCTATCCTACGCGCTGATAGAAGGCACCCATCAGCCTGCCCACCCTGCCCATGTCTGTGGTAGCTTCCTACACCCGAAAAGTGAGGCTGAGCTTCTCCTGCCCCACACCTCTGCGTTGCTCTGCAATACGTTTGTCTTGATTTTCAGACTCCTTCCTCCTCCTCAGTCTAGGCCCAGCCTCCCCCCAGCTGCTAGAGTGAAGGGGGCCCTCATGTCACTCCATCCATCACAATAGCCTACTGCACTTTCTTAATGTCCTGCAACCATCTGCCTCACAGGCTATTTTCAATTGTGCCTCTACAGCCTTCCTCATTACAATGTCAGGTTCAAAACCATGGAAGCTCATTACTTTGCTCTCTTAGCATCTCTTGGCCCATGGATGGAGCCAGAATCAAGGCATAGTAGATTAAACCTCTGTCGTGTGACAACAGTATCCCATATGGTTGCTGGTTCAAGATCTGGCTGCTCCACTTCCCATCCAGCTCCTTGTTAATGATCCTGGGAAAGCAGTGGAGAATGGGCCAGGTGCCTTGTCCTGGCCCAGCTCTGGCTGATGGAGACTTTTGGGGAATGAAGCAATGGATGCAAGGATCTCTCTGTATGTCCTCTTCTTTCTGTAGCTCTGCAATTCTGGAATCAGAGTGTAACTGCCAGTGTTTATTCAACAAATGAAAAACAAAAGGTGAAAATACTGCTTGGCATTCAGGGCCCATGATGACCTGGCATCATGCTACTTCTCCAGCCTCATTGCCAGTGAATTCTGGTTTATTATTTTAAAATGTCCATTATGTTTCCTAACTAGGCCTATTTACAACAGTATCTTCCTTCTCTTCCTATTAAAATTACCTTTGTCTTTAAGGTCCAGCAGAAATTCTATCCAGATCTACTTTTAAAAATAAAAAATTATTTATTTGAAAGACAAAATTTATCTGAAAGAAAGATCTGAAATCCCTTAGTCCATTCCTCAAAGAGCTACAATGGCTAGAGGTAGGCCAGGCCAAAGTCAGGAGCTAGGAGCTTCAAAGGATCTCCAGTATGGATGCAGGAGCCCAGGTACTTGGGCTATCTTCTGCTGCTTTTCTCAGGCCATTCACAGAGAGCTGGACTAGAAGTGGAGCATCTCAGATCTGAACTGGTGTGCATATGGGATGTTGGCATTATAGACAATGGCTTAACCCATAATGCCAGAATGGCACAACACTAGCCCCTCAACTTATCCTTTAAGGTAATCCAAAGTACTCCTTAATTATTATGATCTCTTTAATATCTTCAATGTCTTTACATTTGTGGAGTTCTTCAGTACTTATAATAGGTTATTTTTTATTTGACAACTGGTTCTAAGAACCAGTTCAATAAAAGAAAAAAAATGTTCCAAAGAGAAAGTCTTAATGCTAGGAATAAATAAGATTCAGATGGCACTTGACTTGTTTTGTGAAAGGTGCACCTTTTATATGTAGTATACTGGAGAAGTTTGATGCTGGGTGAAGTGTATAGCACAATGCTTACAAAGCAGCAGTCAAAAGGAGTCTGTCAAAGTTGATATCTGTGACAGTTCTAACGGACACTTCAAGTTGCCCCTCATGTTTTCCACTGAAGCTTTTACTATGAAAAGTTTCCAAAAATAAATTTACTTTATAGGTAGGTATCAAAGACTATGTATATGAACTAATTTTTCTTTACAACAGGGACCATAATTTCACAAAATGTATGATTCCTGACAATGATCACAGAGTGGAGAAAGAAGGGTCTATTATCATGTACAATGCAGCAGCATTTTCTGACCATATACCATGTAATATGCCACTCACATAAACTTCAGACATTTTATAGCATATACATTCATGAGTCAGAGGAAAGTGATATTTGTATTTTTATGTTTGGCTTATCTTACTTAACAATAATCTCTAGTTCCATCTGTTTTGCTGGAAATGACAGGATTTCTTTTCATGGCTGACTACCACTCCACCACGTACACAAACAGCATTAGCTTTAGCCAGTCATCAGCTGAAGGACATCTAGGATGATTTTATATCTTTGCTACTGTGAATGGGGTAGCTAATACATGGAAAAGCAGGATATGTTCCCAGAAGTGGGACTGCTGGCTCATAAGGGAGCTCTATTTTTAATTTTCTAGGGAATCCCCATCTGGTTTTCACCTTTAACTATGAGCCCAGCTCAATCCTGTTAGTGAAACAACTTTTTTCTACCCAGAAACAAAAAAACTGATTTTTATTTGTTTTGTGATGGGAACTCTGACTCAGAGAGTTCTTAAAAAAAAATTGAGGTTTTACATATTTTTGCTTATCTGTATCTTGGCTCCGGAGGCAGATGCACGTAGACAAAGCGAAACATGTGGGCCTCTACATCAGAGTGGCTAATGCAATATGTATCATGTAGATAAGGTAACAAACCAACCTGGGCAGCCACTTGGCATCGCAGGCATCCTCTGTGGAGTACATGGCTTCCAAGCTGGGTTTCCTGCGGCTTAACCACAGGCTGATGTGAGGAACACAGTCCAAGGGTTCCGCTCGCAGCACTCTGTGACCCTGTATGGATCCCTCGCTCCTGGACTTGGGGATCTGGATAAGACAATTGAAGAACAAAGAGTTAGAGACGAGCACACAGAGAAACAGGCTATTTTATTTTTTATTTTCTTAACTTACTTTTTCTATTGGAAAATCAGAGTTGCAGAGAAGAGAAAAAAAAAATTCCAGCTGCAGGTTTACTCCCCAGATGGCTGTAACAACCAGGCCTGGGCCGGACTGAAGCCAGGAGTCTCCTACATGGGTGTAGGAGCCCAAGTACTCGTGCCATTCTTCCCGTACCCCCAACTGCTTTCCCAGGTGCATTTGCAGGGAAGTTGGACTGGAAATGGAACAGCCAGCGCCTATATTATATGACAACATCTCAGGTGGTGACTTTATCTCTAGGCTGTAACATTGCCCCCAAGCCTAACAGGGAAATTTCACACCATCAATGACCCAGATCCCTTGCTGGCACTCTGACCTCTTCTTGGAACCATCACTATATATAAGAAAAGACAGTAGGAGTATAACTGAACTGGTGAGCAGAGCGAAGAACATGGCTGGAAAGAGGCAAGGGGCAAAGAAAGTCTGCAAGTCAGTGAAATGAACAGTGTCTGTGTCAAAAACATGATGAGAAACACCCAGCACCAGCAAGTGTGCCAAAGGTTTCTGTTTTGATCCTCTCGCAGGGCATGTTCAGTCTAATACATTTTTGGTTAAGAAGTAAATAGGAAAACCAGAACCTTTTCAATTTTTTAAAATTTAGTTTTATTTATCTAAAAGGCAGAGTTACAGACAGAGAGAATCTTCCACTGCCGATTTTCTTCCCAATGGTCTCAATGGCTGGAGTAAGGTTAGGCTGAAACCAGGAGCTGGAGCTTCCTCTGGGTCTTCCACATAGGTACAGGGACCTGAACTCTTGGGCCATCTTCTGCTGCTTTCCCAGGCCATTAGCAGAGGGCTGCTGGGTTGTCAGTGGAGTAGCTGGGACTTGAACAGGTGCCCACATACGATGCCAGCACTTCAGGAAGAGACTCAATTTGTTACGCCACAATACTGGCCACTTTTCAGTTTTCTTACATCTCTGGATGCAAAGGCAATACATATCCCCCTTCCTTTCACTATCAAATACTTGGGACTTCTCAGAAAGTACTTCTCAGGACTTCTATATGAAGTGTTGCCGCCTTCCTATTTTAGGTCACCAAGATTATGACTACAACCAATAACCTTTTCCTAAAACAGTGTGCAAAACATGATGTTGTAAAACTAAAGACAAAAGCTTAATGTATTTGCTGTGCTGCAATCGGTTTCTGGTCTCTAGGACTTCCCCCAGGTATGTCACCTGTTTATTCCTGGCCACCCACCAGCTGTCTAATACCGAAGCCAATCCCACTGTCCTTTAAAGCTTACACTGAGTGCATGGTGCATGGAAATTTTCTAACGAACCTCAGACCCAGTGATCTCCCAACTCCGTGTTCCTGTTACTAAGCACTGCAGACTGCCCTGTGTTAGATAGCACTGCAGACTACCCTGCTTCCCTGGGGCCTATACACATGGCCTCAATCACATCTCCATCAGCCTTAGCGCCTCCCACTCACGCATCTTCATTTTGACCATAAAGTCTAGTAAGGTTTGGTATCTGATTATAAATACTTTTCACCATGACTATTCCCAATGTACTGCCTATTTAACAGGTTGGGATAACATAAAAAGGGTGAGCAGAAACATTCAATACATTCATGCCGCTATGAGGATTATATAATGTATACATAAATGTATAACTTACAACAGTTTAAAATTAACATAAAAATAGCACACAAAAATATGGGAATAGGAGAAGTCAGATTTGCCTTGAAACAAAGTGAACACTGAAAGCAGTCAGCTTTTGGCTTAATTGCCAAATTTGCCCAAATCTGGTGATTAACTTTTTTTCAATATACATATATTGAAAATATATACATATATTCAATATATATATATTTATTAATTACATTGCATTATGTGACACAGTTTCATAGGCTCTGGGAATCCCCATACCCTCCCACCAGGGTGGGATTGTTAATTAACTGTTGATGGTTATTTCTCTGTGAAACATTTGTTAATACTATGAAAATCAAAAAGGAAAATGGTTTCTAAAATTGAAAATTTACAAACTTACAAAAATATGTCTATATTCCACAAATGTATTTGCTAAGGTACTTTTTGTGTTGATAAATGAAAACTGCACATACTTATACATTATCACTTTGTTTTAAAACATGAGGGTTTGAAAAAGTTTAGGGAAAATGGAATTAAAAGTTTACTTTCAGTGAAAATTTTTTTCTGAAATTTATGCTACAAGGTTTGCAAAATTAGCACATGAAAAAGCTATGTATAGACTTAAGGTTTTTTGGTGCCCAAATCAATTTAAATTCAATTCTGCCATGAACTGTATACATCTGTAGTAGAATGGCTACATAGAGTTAATTAACAAACGCACTACCTCATAAACTTATTTCTCTTGTGTGACACAAATATTTGACATCTACTCTCTTAGTGATGATTCAAGAGTAACAAAATGGAGTCAGTACTATGGTTGAAGCAGGTAAAGTTGCTGCCTAAGACATCAGTATTCTATATATGTGTCAATTTGAGTCCTGGCTGCTCCGCTCAATCCAGCTCCGTGTTAAGGTGCCTGGGAAAGCAGCCAAAGTTGGCCCAAGTCCTTGGGCCCTTGTCACCCACATGGGAAATCCAGGGCTTTGCCCTGGGACCAGTGTTGGTCACTTCAGCCATCTGGAAAGTGAACCAGTGAATGGAAGAGTTCTATCTCTCCTCCTTTAACTGTGCCTTTCAAATAAATAACTTTTTTGAAAACGTTGATTACTTTAAAAAATATTTTTAAAAACAGCAGAATAACATGAGGACAAATAAAAAAAGTGAGGACAAATAAATAAATGTTATATCTTTCACAAAGGGACTCGTTTTGCATCTAATTGCTTCTCATAAGCATAAGCATGAAACACTAATGACAGAACCAAACAGCAATAGGATTCCAATTAATTTATAGTATCACATTTGAACTTAATTTTCTGTCAGTTTTAAAGAACAGATTTTGGCAAGTATTTCATGGTCTTAAAAGAGACAACATGTTTGGTTTCCTAATAATTTAGGGGTTCTAAATTTTCATTCACCAATGCTCATAAAGGCAAAACAATCTAAAATGATTTCCAAAGGGAATATGCAGCTTATTCCATTCTGCCACTTTATTTTTAAAAAACTTTATAATAAAAATCACATCGAATTCAGATGTCCAACTACATCTGGTACACTTTGTCTAAGTGTATTCGGTGCTGATGTAGTTTCTGTAAAGACAACACAGACATCATTGTCATTAGCCATCAACTGTCAAATATAAATCCAACATTTGTATACCAAAGCAACGCAAGGATCTGTTTGTGCACAGAATGTGAAGACAGCACCAGTTTATGAGAAAGGAAAATTATTAAGAAAAAAAATGTAACTCAGACACAGAGACTACCAGAACTGTGAATTAGTGCAGGCACGTTTCTGAAGGAATGTGCCAGTCTAAGAATGACTAACGGTATCTTCTTGAAGATTTATCTTGAAGATTGTATTTTTCACTACAGATACAACAGCTAGAGGAAAAATGAAAATAACATAAAGTTCAAAACCTGCTGTTTATGTTGATATAATTAATTTTAGTTCAAACTGATTAGATTTAAGGGAAAAAAAAGCAGAGATTACTTCCTTCAATTCAACTGGAATTATGCTTTCAACAAACATGTAATTAGAACCAACATGACATTTTACTACTTTTAGTCTTACCATGTAGATGGAAGGAACAATTTCATTTTTCTCTCGGTGTCCTTTTAAGAGTCTCTATAGGAGCTAATGGTGTAGCACAATGGGTTGAGCTGCTGCTCAAATGCTAGCTTCTCATATGTGTCTGGCTCAAGTCCCCATTGTCACACTGCCAGCCCAGCTTCCTACTAATGCACTTGGGAAAGCAGCAGAAAATGGCCCAAGTCCTTGCGTTCCTGCTTTCCATGTGGGAGACAGAGATGAAGCTCCTGGCTCCTGACTTTGGCTCAGCTTACACCTACCCCTTCCTCCCCATTTGGGAGTGAGCCCATGGATGCAATATCTTTGCATTTATCTTTGTAACTCTCCCTTTCAAATAAACAAATCTTTTTTTTTTTTTTTAACTGTCTGTATAGTTTGGTGTGGGTATCCACCCTAGCTCAGCATTGGTGCTTTCTGTCTTAGAGATTGCCTAAGAGGAACATGGTAATAGACAAGGTCAGGCAAACAAGTGGGCGTGGTACTACACTATGGCCTCAGAAGTAATGGGTCCCTTCCAGGGGCCATTCTGTCTGCAGACATTTTTGGTTTTGGTTGTCATGATGGGGGTGAGGGCATGTGCCATTAGATTCTTGTAGGCAGAGACCCAGCTGCCACAGTGCTCAAGCTTAGTGGTCTTATTCACCACACTAGCAGGGCTGAAGCTGAACAGGCCTGCTAGAGCAGGAACGCCAGGAAGAAACCTGCATGAAGCAACATCTCCCTTTATATGCTTTTCTTCTGCTTCCATGGGCTTGTCAAGACATGATGGCCCATAACCAGCTATGAGTCCAGCAGGAGTGGGCCCTGGAGGTCATTTAGACTGTCCTTGTCCGGTTAAGAATCTCCATGGTTTCATGAGGTTCAGCCAAGCTCAGATGGGTCAAAGCCTTACCATAATAAACAGAGAACAGGCCCAGGGAGGTGCACCTGTCACTCCCCTCACACATGTGACAGCAGCAGGACAGCCAAGGGCAAGGGGGAGGAGGTAACAGAAGCCAACATTGTCTTTCTGCTGGAGTTGGGGCATCCACCAGCTCACAGCATGCTTTGCCTCCTCATTTTAGTCATTTCTCCATTTATTTAGTCTTCTACTAAATGTTATACTTGAAAATTAAAATCATATATCCCTAAATCACCCATGAAAGACTTGACTCCTATGAATTGCCTATGTGAGATAAGGACTTGGGGACACACGGTGTGATTGATGT